TATAAAAGAGAGGTTTCTGTGTGTGTAAGGGGTGGGGGACTGTGTCACATCTAGGGAACATTAACACCTGCAGGGAGGTCACGGAGGGTCAAGGAAGACTTCACAAAGAAGGTGACACTACCTAGAATGAATGTTAAAGAAAGTCATGGTTTTCCAAGTAGGGAGAAGCGGAAGGGCATTCCAGGCAGTGAGAAGACCATGTACAAAACCAGGGAGCTGGGAAGGGGCCTGTTTGGGGGCCGATGAGGCAGTGAGGATGGGCGAGACACAAATGGAGGCTGTGGGGGTGAGAAGATGGGTGGACATGAGGCAGCGTTAAGTAGGCTCAGCTAATGCCAACCTCAAGCATTCGAGGAGCCAGACCACAGAGACCAAGATGGGACCTGAGCAAGCCTGCCCCACAGATGCACCTCTGTCTGCTCCTGAGAGGGACTTGTCCTCCACAGATGGTGGACTGCCCCGGCTGGGGGTGGAAGGATGGTAACAGGACCATGTCTCCTGGCAGGCCTGTAACATGTAGCACTGGGGCCATGGGAAGTTCAGGGACGGAAGCGACCACCACCCCCTTGTGACTGACAGTGAGTCCCCACTCTTGTCTCACTTTTGTTCAAACAACCTCAGGCAAGCACAAGGCATACATCAAAAGTGCAGATGGGAAGACTGAGGTGGCGGGAGGTGGCATTCACTCAAGCCTGAGTGAGTTCATTGTGGATTTGACACATGGACTCAAGGGTCCTGATTCCCAGCACAGGGACCTGCCCCCAAACCAGAAAGTTCTCTACCTCCTGTCCTTGCAGTCAGGCACACACTCTGAGCCCCTTCTCCCCAGGGCGAGTCCTTATCAGACAAGTTTGAGGTGGTTCCCGGGCTCAACCTGAGGGAGTCAGTGCTTCCCAGTCACGCTGGGTTCCCTCCTGGCTGCATCTGGCCTGTGGGGGAACCCCAAACAGTAAATGCCTGCGAGGTTTTCTCCAGAACCCAGATCGGCAGGGTCCCTACTCAGAGTACTCTGTTGTCAAATGGGTGTGCTGGGCAGTCAGATGGCAGCGATGACAGCAGCCTCCTCCTTGTTTTATGGACATAGTTCCCAGAAGCTCAGTCAAGTAATAGGAAAAATTTGAAAAACAGTTTAAAAAAATAACCCCAAACTCCACTAACTCAAGCCAGCATACTGGCTCAGCAGAGCTAAGCAAGTATGAGCAAAGGGCAGGCCTTTGGACAATGGGAGGTGTCACCCCAACATCAGGAACCACTTCATACAGACAAGGAACCATCCTAATGTCCTCTCCAGCGGGGCCTCTACTGTGCTCTTCTCCAACATGGGGCTGCCAGCTACCTAAGGATTTTCTCCAAGCCTCCTAGTCCTCTGCCCACACCACGTACAGTCCCACAGGAGAATTCTTCTACTATAAGAAGATATATATTGAGGAGAACATATATATATAAATATAATATATATATTTTGAATATATATATATTCAAACAATTTTGAATTTAGGAGAACAATTTCCCCAGATAAACTAGAATGATCTCTCTTTTCGAACAAGGAGAGCCAAGTAATGGGGCATGCTTCCTCTTTTTGCCTTGGCTCCTAGTCACATCTTAGGCTTATTCACCACCATTCCATCAGCCTTTACTGGTCGCAGACTTGCCACCATCAACTTTCTTCAATCCTTGCTTGTAAGTGTTCTGTTGGGTTAATCTGTTCACTCATAGCCTGGGTTATGTGTCATCTCAGCTCCTCGTTGGAAAGATGTGGCAGGTAAACATAACGAAGTTTCACTCCGGAAGGAGGGGTTGAAAGTGCAAAATCTGGCCACCATTCTGGGGCCATGGGAAATCCCCTTTGATTACACTGTTATACTCCAAATTCCCCGAAAACAGAACGCTTTCCTCCCCTCCTCAAAGCAGGAGGAACTGGAGCAGCTCCCCACCCCTCAGGCCCTCTTCCCTCTCTCCCCATCTAGATCCAGCTCCCCTGGCAAACTCTCCTGAATCAGGAGGAGGAAGAAACACTGTATCCTCAGCACCTTTGCCTTCTTGCCTGTTTCCTGAGGTGTGGTGGGCAGGTCCCTTCAGCTACTTTCTAGGGAGGGGAGGTGTCTAGAAGATCGCTTTCAGGGATTTAACAATCTGGGCATCAGTCATAAGCACCAGAGTTTAGCTAAATTAGGCTCTCCCACCCTCCCGAGGCCACTGTTCCTTGTGGACCCAGGGTCTAGCGGCTTTAGGGAACTGCAAGAACCGGAGAGGCCCCCAGCCCTGACACAGGCATGGAGAATACTGGTGACAAGCATGGTTTAAGAGCCACATGGACCTGGGTTTGAATCCCAACTCCGCCACTTACTGGCTGTCAGACCCTGGACAATCCACTTTGAGTCTCTGAGACTCATTTCCCCACCTATGAAATGGGAGAATAACAGAACCTATCTCTCAGTGTTGTGAAGAGGTCAAGAGCAAGTCCCTACAGAGCACACACTGAGTGTGGCATGTTGACAGGCTCAATAATCCGCAGGGCTAATATTGGGATCAGTGATGGCTCATGGAGGGCGGGAGAGAAAGTGTGAGAACTCCAGGATTCCTTGCTAGCAGTGACATGGCCCTGGGGGATGCCCCTGTTCCCTGTGACTCCAGTCTCCCCAGAAGGCCTGCTGACTGTGCACAGCTCTCTGCCCTGGGGGACGGGGCTATCACCAGATCCTCTTAATAACCACAATGCTTTCTGTTATTAAGGAGGATAAAGAGACCATTGGAAAACTGACTTTTGCCTCAGCATAGTAAGTATGAATCCAACTAAAAAAACCCCTGACACGTGCCCCAAACCCAGTCTGATGACCGCCCCCTACCACTACTAGCTCCCACTATGTTCCACCATCTCTGCCTGCCATCAGCCAGACTAGTCTCCTCCAATCTTCAAGGCTTTTTCATTCTGGAATCTCTCCTACCTTGAATGGTCTCCATTCACAGCCATCCTGCCCTTCCCCCCGGTAAAATAAATGCCCCTTCTCTTCCAGGAGATGCTGGGGAAGTCCCTGGTTGACTTCTAGGGCAGTGTTTTTCCAAAGACTCCACCTGCATTGAATCACATGAGGTTTGCTAAAATGTAAATGCCTGGGCCCTCCCCAAGAGCTAGTGAGACAGAATCTCTGTGGAGGGGGCTGGGAGTCTGTATCTCTATGAAGTTCCCCAGGTGATTCTGATACACACAAAGCACAAAAATCAATGATTTGTCTTGAGTCCTTGCTGAGTGCCAAAATCCTGCTAGGGCTAGACCTGGAAAATTCATGAAATAATCTAACTGAAAGGATCTAAACTCCCTGTGTGTTCCCGGCAGGACTACCCAGGAGAGCTGGATTCTAGTCTTGACCTTATACTAATAAGCTGTGTTGCCTTAGACAAGTCATTTCCCCTCTCTGGGCCTCCGTTTTCTTAGTTGCAAAAGGAAGGACCAGGACTTGGGGAGGGGCTTGTCTCTGGGGCCATCCTGCTCTAATATGCTTGGAAACCTACTTGGGACAGGCTCCTTTGTAGGGCTGGCATGGTGGGAAAGGAGAATGGGGAGTTTTTGGGGGTGAGCCCAGATGTCCCATCACTGCCTAGGTGGACAGCACAGTTGCTACTGATGTTCAGAGGGACTCAGAGGTCTTGGGCCAGATGGGGGCCAAGGTCAGTATCCAAGTGGCCTGGCCGAGGAGGCACCGTAAGGAGCAACACCAGCATCTAGGCCACGGCAGAGTCAGGCCAAGGGCGGTTTGGCACTGACCCCTGGAGAGAGGAGACAGCACAGAGAGTGGGTCTGAATGTCAGAGCTCTAGCCCAGTAGACTGGCTCTGAACCACATTCTAGGGCCCTTAGGAACCTCAGAGAGCAAATGGCAACACCCAGGGATGGGGGGAACTGCAACTCAGGGGGCTCCCAGGCGGGATATCTCCATCGCACAGCTCCAGAGGTGCCAACTTACAGAATACAATATGCATGGCGCCTCCTAGAGTTGTGCCACGTAGAGCAACACGCTGGGACTCGGCACCAAGGGCACCCCTAGGCATCCTGGATCTTGAGCTTAGGACAGCAGGATGAACTCTGGCCCATTCACGACTTCGGCCAGCCAGGGCACAGCCAGCAGCTGCAGGGAAGGATGTTTCTCCCCCGCTCCTGGTGGGGAAGCACCGGCAGATGGCCACAATAGGCTGAGGGGGGCGGGGGAGCAGTAACAGGCTCAACAGGAACTTTCCTCAGATCTATAATCTGTTCCCACTAATTATAGGCAGCCCCACTCACTTTGCCCTCTGGGGCGAGACTGCCCAGCCCCTCCCCGTTGACTCAGAAGCACTGCCAACAGGAGGGAAGGGCCTAGAGAAAGTTCCAGGCATTCAAAGGACTGGCCAACTGGGCCCAGGAGACTGGCATTGTTTTGCTAGAAGAAATGGTTAAGAAAGAACTTACGAACCACTGAAATCTGGAGAGTTGTTGTCCAAAACAAGATTCAGCGTCGTGTGGCACAGCAAGTGCTTTCACCGGCAATTAGCTTCAGCCTCAAACAACCTGGGAGGTGATTAACACCATTATCCCCCTTGACGCCCAAGGAAGCAGGACTCAGCAAGTCATAGTGCCAGGTTAGGCACCGACTGCCTCACAGGGGGTGGTAACCGCTGGAAATGGCCTGACCCTGGTGCAGGACAATGGGGTTCAGCCACTAGTAGACCGGGGAGCACTGGGTAGCAGGGCTCGGGGTTTATAAGAGGCCAAGAGATTTTTCTATCTGATCCTCCAAAAGTGACAGCAGCTCCCCACTTTCCCGGATTCTGTCCATCCAGAGGTTCACCCCTAAGAATCTCGGATTCCCCTAGAGCCCTAAGCGGAAGCTGTCGTTTCCTCTCCTTTCAACCCTTCAGAAACATTCTTGATTCAGAGAGGGACCAAATGCCCCAACCTGGGTGCTTGGTGAGCTTCCGGCCACCAAATGTTGAGGGATTCCTGCATGACAGACAGCTACTCACTCACAAGCTTTCAAATTCTCTTTATTAAAAATCTTTTTCTTTTTCCTTTTGTAAAAACAAACACTTGTGGTCAGTTATACATATCAAGAAAAGTGGTGACGATTTATAGGACACTCAACAAAATCCAATACTTTACAAGTTCAAACTTAAATTAACTAGTTTTTTTTTTTTTTCTCTCTCTTATAAGCTCAAGAAGCAAACTCTGGTCCAGTTCAAGTATCATCTAACAGATCACAGCCTTGGAGTGTCCAAGAAAGGGAAACCCTGATACTAGTGACTGCTGCTCACACCGACATCAAATTTATCAAATTCTTTGGGAATACAGTCTGGATTTACTTTATTTCAGGTGTTTACAATGAAAAGAAAATTACGTAGGCCTTTGGTTACATTAACCCAGGGCACAAACAGATCTGTTGCTCAAGGCGACACCTGCTGTTGAACAACCTTCTCAACCTTTTCCGGGAGACACTTTGAAATGGTGGACAGACACTGAGGAAAAGCTTTAAAAAATAAATCAATATTTTCCTGGTTGCCTTTCATACTGCATTGTGTATGACACATAGGAATAAAAAACGCAAATTAGAGTGGGTGAAGGACCATGCCGATGGAATTGTATAAAAATAAATAAAAATAAATATATATACACACAATTATGGAATCTTAGATGATTTTTAAACTGAAGGTTCTGATTGAACGCTGAGCGAGCCTCTCCTCTCTTCTTCCCTGAGGCTCTCTCCAGCTTTCCAAGATGGAGAAGGTCAATCTGTCAGCAAGGGAGCCATTACACTACTCGGGACTGCGGCTGTTTGAACAGCCATTGGGATTTCCATGGAAACGCTGCTGGGGGGTGAGCTAGCGCGTCGGCTTCCACTTTGCTGGAGAAAAGACTGCCAGCATCTCTGACAAGGCACAGTTCCAGCATCTGATGGAGGCAGCAGGCTTTTCCCATCAAGCTTTGGCTGGGAAGCTGGCCCTAGTCTTCCCTCCGGTGGGAAGAAAGACACAGGGTCAAAGGTTTTCTGAGAAATGGAGGTGGCTGGTTTCCAGAATGCCAGGTAACAACCTGGGTAGGCAGCCAGTGGAGCAGGTCTGGGCTGAGCCACCATCTTCAAACCCTGCTGTGTTTGAGACACCAACCTTTCTGAGGCCCCCAGGTGGCCTGATGCCGAGTCCGGCTTTCCTGCTTCCTCCAGCCTCAACTCGCTACAGCTGTCCAAGCCGGTCTGCTTGTCCCTGGTGCTGCCTTAACCCTTCTCCCTCACAGCTGCCCAACAGCGCTCTCCTTGCAGGGGACCACTCGCCTCAAGGTTTACACATGATCATTTTACGTTCTACATCTTTCCTTTTTGTGCCTTGTTTCCTCACTGATAAAATGTCAGTGTGGAACTCAGATAATCTCTGTACCCTTCTGCCATTAGAGCAGAGGACAGAATGTGCAGTCTACTCTTTTCTACCATTAAACAAATGCAAAAGTAAATAAATAAAACCATCCCTTCCTCGTCCACCTGCCTGCAGTCGGGAATGGAAACCACAGGAGCTGTCTTCCAGGGGCTAAGTCAGGGAGGCTGCCTCCAGGCACGGGGCTCAGCTTGTGGAAACAGCACCGGGCTCCCCTCTGACCTTCTTGAGGGCTTCTCTAGGGCTGCAGCTGAGCCTCATTCCCCCGGTACCCTGTCCCACACGCTTCCAATGGCACATCAGATGAGAGGCCCTGCAGCCCGACTGGGGCCTGAAGGTACTAACCTCCAGTAACAGACAGCCGGATGGGAATAAGGGTTCTGTTCTTCATAACATTTAGCTGCCAGGTCTGCACATGGAGTCAACTCTGAGACGCTCTTGACCCTCTGCCAAATTGGAAAGGGCCCACCTGCCAACACCCAGCCACCCTCCAACGCCACCCTTCAGTCCTACAGCCTTCTCTTTCCTTAGCTTCTCCCCTCACTGAGAGACCACTTAAAAACCATCCCACTGGGAGGCTGCTGGAGCCCAGAGTACAGGCAGCAAGGGTGAGTCAAGGACAGATGCCATTTCCTTGTTTTGGTTCTCTCAGGCCAGTGCCATGCAACCCGGAGGCCAACACTCGACCCAAGCCCTCAGCAAGGGCTGTTTCAACTGGAAGGGGAAGGCGCTTCTGTTTTCATTTTTATTTAAAGTGACTCTACACCTAATTCACTGTCCAGAATAGAACAAACTCTGGCATCTCCTGAAATCAAGAGGAGGAAAATAAGTTTAGGGGGAACTTATCAGAGCTTCCAAAATGAAGGGTTCTTTTCCTCCTCTGTAAAATTGAATTTTAAGGCATGAATCTGGTGAACTTCTAGAATAACTGAGAGGGTGAAAGAGTTATTAAAAACAGGGCTTTTCAAAAAGGTAGTCCAGCTGGAGGAACTCCCAGCTTCTGCCAAGTGACTGTCTAGGGTGCCCCCTCTCCAGGACTGCAGGACCCGGCACAGCGACCCCACCCCCGCGCAGGAGGCCAGGCAGAGAAACCATGCCAGGGTCACTGAAGTGGTTCTTGACCCAGGAGTTTCCATGAAACCTTTCTCTTGGATGACTCAGCCTGGCCTGACCTGTCCTATCCCGTCAAGAATTTGAACACTGTGAAAATCCCTGAGAAGTTGGACTTTATGAAATGGAAATGACCCTTGGCACAGAAAGAGGAGAGAGGGAGGGAGGGGGAGCAAGAGAGAGAAGCAAATTGAAAGCTTGTTTGAAGGAAACAAAAGAGCCAACAGGGAGAAAGTGGGCAACCCTCAGGGGGCTGGACACAGCGGGGTGACAGCTCTGGGAGACACTTCAGGGCGTTTTCATGAGTCTCTGAGAACAAACCAGGCAATGTGGCCTGCCTGGTTTTCCTTCCTCTCCAGCTTTAGATCCTGCACCGAGGTCAGGAAGGCCCCACCTCGGCAGGCCCTCCTCTCCCCGCTTCCAGCAGTGGCAGGGTGTCAGGGCTTTTTCTTTTCAAAGTTTGGCACGATTCCGCTGTCCTCAGGCCTCGGACTGCCTGCCCCCTCGGTCTCCTTCAGGCCCTCCTCGGCCAGCTGGGACAAGTACTTCTGTGGTGGGAAAAGAGGGACAAAAGAGGCAGAGAGAGGGTCAGTGGTGACCTGGAGGGAGAGGAAGGAGGTGTGTGCCTTGTACCCCTCTCCTATCATCTTGCCCAGTGAGTGGGGACCCCGCCTCCCTCCCCAGATCCTTCTGGGGCTACAGGACCCATGCTAAGTAATGCACTTCCTTCCCGCTTTATGCTAGTTTACAAGTAGTGCATGTCTCTTAGAAAACATAGAAAGTACAGATCCTAACAACAGCAAACACTTCCACAGCCCGCATCCTGTGCAAATGCTGCTCTGCTTTTCTTATATAAACTCAGTTAATCCTCACAGCCACTCTACTTGTTTCCCAGAAAGAGCTCCGTATCCAGGCAGCACATCCACGTGTAAAAGGCTGAGGGAAAAGAGGGAAGCTGGAATGCCAGAGAGAGAGAAGCACTGTCCTATAGCAATTATGAAAGACAAAACCACAGCCTGACATTTGAGACTCGTAACAACCTGTCTCCCGTCAGGCAGGCTGGCAGCTTGAGTGTCTTGGAGGTCCTTCTGTGGAATTTCTGTTCCATAGTTGGAGGCTGCCTTGCCCACCCTGGAACACTCATTGATCTGGCTGGCCCCCAGCCCGACTTGGCAAGCCTGTCAGGCCGTTCCTGGGATTCTGGATTCAATGCAATGAGACAGACTAGAAAATGCCTGGGGCCCCAGCTGCAGGCCCTCTGACTGCTGGGGCAGCAAGGGACAGTGCAAAGAGCACTGGATTCGGAGTCAGCAGGTTAGGTCCAGCACAGTGGTCAAGTGTGTGGGCTCTGTCATCAGATGACCTGGGTTCAAATAGTAGCTCTCAGCAGACAAGTTACCCAACATCTCTGACGTCTGTAAAGTGTGGGTCATAATGGTAACTACCGTGTAAGGTTGCTGTGAAGTCCAAGAGGGACCATAAAGCACCTGGCTCAGCGCCCAGCATGAATAAACACTCGCCAATATTGCCCATTATCATTAGGGGCACCAGCCAACTGATTTTTGGAAAGTCATTCAGCATCTCCCAGCCGCAGACCCTAATCTCTTAAATGGGAGAAATGGTGTCCTCCTCCCCTGACCCCAGGTGATTCTGAGGGTCAGACGAGATGATGTGAATGAGACGACTGCATCTACCCGCTCTTTCTAGAAGAGACTGAGGTTGGCTTTGAGAGGTGGGTGAGCCTGACCGGGAGAGGGGCAGACTGGATCCCTGCAGCCCAGGCTGCTGATGGAGGGCCAGGTTTCTCCTCTGCCTCAGCTCAGAGAAGAGAAATGTGTGCTGAGGGAGGCAGGCAGGTGAGTGTGCTGTGTTTGGGCACATTCCTCCCCAGACCCGGAGCCAAGCAGGCATCTAGTTTTCCTATCTAGCACTGACTCCACCTGTTGTTCCAGATTACTCTGGGTGGGTTCTCTCAGGGCCATGACCAGCAGTGGGGAACAGCAGGGTTGTGCACAGGGTTGCACAGAGAGAATAGAGGCTGCTTCCGCCTGTTCCCTGCCTCCAAGAGCAATCCCCAACCCCCACCTCAAGGCCTCCTGGTGGTGCTAAGTTTACAAGCTGCCTAACTTAGGTGTTAGCCAGCACCTGCTGCTCGGGACTGAATTCTGCACTTTCCACACATGTAACTTGGGGTGTGGTGGGGTGGGGTGGGCGAGGCTGTGTGGACAGAGATATTTTGTCAAGGCCGCTGCAGAAACTCTATCTGGGAAGCCTGTGGTGGCAGCTCCCAGCTCCCTGGCAGGTGTGTCAGGGAAACCTGAACTGCGGTTGGCGGGTGTAAGGGGCTTAGCCAATGTTTAGACCTGACATGCCTGGGAACCACAGGAATGGCTCTGGCCTGCTATGGGGAGGTGAGCCTGTCCCAGGGGCCCAGAACACAGTCCATTGCCCTGGAAAAAAAAACACAGGATTTAGAATTAGAGGCCCTGAGAAGTCTGCACTCTTCCTAACTTCCTGGGTGACCTTGAGCTGTGTGGTTTCCTTGGGGGCTTCACAATCCAGCTGAGAATGCCAGATGAGATCAAACGTTCTCAGACTGAGATATCAGAATCTGCTGGAAATATTTTTCTTAATGCAGATTCTCAGGCCCAGCCCTAGAGAAAATGAATAAGCAGGTATAGGGTAGGTCCAGGAAGCTGCATTTTTTAAAGATGCCAGATGATATGAAAACCAAGGTCTGGGAAAATCAGGACCAGATGATCTCCAAGGCCCCTGCCTTCCATAGGTTTCATCTCGTTGAGGTGGAGGAGGATGTTGTCTTCAGGCCAGATGGCTGCCCTCAGCTGGCTCTCTGGAGCTCAGTCTGAACCCTTGGTCTGGCCAAATCAGGCCTTCACTACACTCCCCCAGGAGATGCTGGGACCCGGGCCCGGGGCCCCATGGCTTCTTTGGTCACAGAGCAGCTGCTCTCTGGAGGGAAATCAAAAAGCTTAAGTGACCTGAGTTTGGGCATAGCCAATGACAGTCCCTTGCATATGGTGACCCAGGCCGAGACATTATGGGTCTCTGTTTGCAAGACCAGCTTAGTACAGCAAAAAGAGGAAAATGTTTAAGACTCAGGCAATCTGGTCTCAGGCCTGGTAACTCACCAGCAGCATGGCCTTGGACAAATCATGTTGCTTCTCTGGGCCTTTGTTTCCTCAATTATAAAACAAGAGAGTTAGCCTACATCTGAGTTTTCTTAACACATTCAAGTCATTTGGAGAACTTTCTCAAATTATGTATTCCCAGGCTCCACCAAATTCTACTGACTATCTGACCTAGTATATATACTGAAACATTGTCCAGGTGATTCTGGTTCACATCCTAGGTTAAGAACCATGAGATTAGCCACTTTTTAACAATTCAGCTGACAGTAATGCCTGCTCTGGAATTAGGGCACAATGCCACCATGAGGGTCTTCCAGATTGAGGCCTTGTCCGTCAAAAAACTAGTCTGATTCCTTGTAATAAAAACAGGAAGTGCCTCGAAATACTTACCCCCTGTTGTCTGATATTTCATGCTTTCTATTAAGTTACTAATTCCTAGCCTATACCAGAAGTTAATTACGAAAACCACATTCTAATATGCTATATGTATATTAGGTGTATATTATAGAAATATTACTATATTTCATTGATTTTAAGATGTATTTTTTACACATTAACATCTCTGAAATTGAGATGCATTTGACAGTTGATGGAGTCTCATCATTTAACTTTTGCAACTTTATTTTCTTATTAGTATCAAAAAATAGTGGTTTGTCTTACAATTGATGGCTCCTTAGAGTGGACAAAATAAGGTATTTACAGTATCTTTTATGTCACTTTTTAATACACTAAAAACTCATTTTAATTATTGCTTCTCTCCTACATTAGAATGGAAGCTCCACGAGGGCAGCAATCTTTGTCTGCTTTTTTGTTTTTTTGTTGTTGCATGCCCAGTGTCTAGAACAGTGCCTGGTACATATATGCCTATGTTGTGGTAGGGATGAACATTTAAATAGAACGTAGTAGTGGTTTTTATTCTAGCAAACAGGGGAACAGATACAGAGAAGTATCTGGATCTGGAACATCCAGGTCTTGTAGGAAGGGGTCAGCCCCAACCACTGGCCAGGTGAACACTAACCCGAGTTACTCAGTCTAGAGAGAGAGGCAGATACAATAAAACCAACCCAAATAGAATGTTCTAAGTACTAAAGCGGAGACGTGCTCTGAGAGCACACGGGAGGCAGCCACCATGTGGAGCAGCCCGGTGGAGTCAGGTCTGAGGGGAGAGTAGGAGTTCTCCATGTGGTGGAAAGAGACAGAAACTCACAGAGACTGGGGAGCCCCCAGGTGCTGGGCAAGGAAGGCTGATGGTTACCTGTAAGTTCCTGTAGTGGACAGCACTGCGACAGTGGCTAATTTTTGCCATCTCCTCGCTCGTGTAGAACAGCCCACACAGCTTGCAGTAAAACCCAGTCCTGGGCACCACGAACTCCACCCCTGCAGAAGGATGGGGGTGGACAGGCAGGCAATTAGGAAGGTGGAGGGAGGCCCCTGTGGTCCTGCCAGCCATCAAGTAGAAGGAGGAGCAATGAGCTCCATCCCTCACTTGCTGTTGACTTTGGCTGGTGACCTAGCTTCTCCAAGCCTGTTTCCTTATTTGCAAAACAGGCTAGAAGAAAACAGCACCTACCTCTTTCACAGGTGGTTGTGAATGTCAGGGGTGTGCTCCCTGAAGTGTGATGGAGTGCTTAGCAGTTCTATGCTCTGCTACTGCCTTTGGGAACTAGGTCCAGGCTCTCCTAGTATCAGCCTGCTCCCAGCCTTTCCAGGGAAAAGAGGAGGAACGAGGTCTCTTACATTTCACTTATTGGATTTCATTTCTCCACACTGTACTTCTCTCTGCAGCTGTTGTGGCCAGGATTCTAGAGAATGCTCTCATTTTTTTGTTGTTTATTTTAGAATTATGTTCATTAAAGAAAAATTTAAAAATAAAGTGAGAAAAAAATCACCCAGAGTCATTCCAATCAAAATATTCTCTTCCACACTATCTATATGTAGAGGCTGGGGGTGGGGGCAGTTTTAACCATATGCTAAGCAGAATTCTGTCTCCTCCCTTTTTTCATGTAATAGTATATCATAAACATTCTCCATCTTTCTCCAGTCTGTACATCTTAACCATCAATTAACAGCATTTTATTTATGATTTGTTAAATATAAATCCCAGGATTCTGGGAAGATTTTTGATGCTGAGGAAAGGAAAGAGTGGCCCGACAGCCAGAGAAGTGACAGTGTCACAGCCCAGAGGATTCATCTTTGGAGGGACGGTGGCTGCTCCAGCCTCCACCAAGGTGTTTTGGGGATCACGGTTCTCCTTTTAAAGACACAGTCAACAGAGTGGAAAGAGCCCAGGTCTGAGCGGGCACAGACCAGACACTAAGAACCCACGTAACCTGAGGAGAAACAGCTGAACCCTTCCGGGGCCTCAGTTTCCTCAGGCACCCGATTGCGAAGGGCCAGCGAAAGAGCAGGGTGTGGGGCTGTGCAAAGCAGGACCCATTGTGGAAGGACCGAAGAGGGGCTGAGTGCTCAGGCCGCTTCCTGCCTGTGCACTGACACTTCAGCTGGGCTTTGCTGCTGCCCATCTGGCTAGCTTCCACTGCTCTTCTGGGGGTGGGGATGGTGGCAGCGCTGGCCACACTGGGTGGAAGGGAGAGGGAGGCTGGGAGCGACACACCAGGGCAACAGCAGCTTCTTGCAGAGAGGGAGACAGGCCCAATCTCCACAAAGGACAGGCCTGAGCTGGCCTCCAAAGCTGTGTGTGACCACAAGTCCCGGGCTTCTTTCTCTTTCCTCCTGCCATCTCTCATGAGACAGAGATAAGTGCACAGGAGACCAAGTCATAGAGAAGAAGCCTAGACTTGTAATTACAACTTTCTTTTTTCATTTCAAATAAGCCACTCATCAGTGTAGAGGGGCAGGCCTGAGGGAGGAGGGCGCCTGGAGGCCTGCCCACCGCCTGCCTTGACTGATTGCTTGGCTGTGGTTTGGGGCCTGGGAGGCCTCCTCGGCTGGTTTTCTCAAACTGCCACGTAGCACACTGCTGTGCCCTCAGCAATCCACAGAAGCTCCCAGAAGTGAGGGGGCCACATTCAGGCCCAGCTGCCCAGAGAGAAGCTGAGTGTGCTTCCCCTCCTCTCTCTCCTTCTACCCTCACCCCAAAGGATGGAAAAGGATGGCCCTGGCTTTGCCTGCGGGTGGCCAATTCACCCCTCCACTTCACAAACAGGCTGTGGCCGGCAAAGGAGTTTTAAGCAAGGCCCGCCTACATCCTCTGTTCCTACAAAATAGTTCTCCCCCTTGCTGCTGCTCTGTGGGGAGCAGAGGCCCACACAAGACAGGAACAGCCACTAGAAAAAGAGAAGCACCACCCGGAGGCCACACGGAGCAGACGCAGGCCTGTGATCAGAGCCACTCCCTCTCTCTTGCCCCAGACCCTGCAGGATCGGCCACTTGGGTGGTACCAGGAAAGAAGCCTGGGCTTGTCGCTGCAGACCCCAGCTGAGGTCTCCAGGATCCTCCAGGTTCCCCAAGAGCCTTCCAGCCCCTGTCCTAGGACCCCCAGAAGGGATGCAGCTGCCTCAGAAGCCACCACAGAGCATGAAGCAGGGCCTGAGCTGGCAGCAGTGGCCGCTTTCAACCCAAGGAGCATGGCTACCATCCTTGGGGTTCTGGGTGAGATTTCACTTTGAACAAAGGCTTGCACTGCGCTCCCCCCCCCACCCCCCCACCAAAAGCTTAGAAGCCCATGGTCTAGTGGAGAGAAAATGGAATTGAGAATCAGTCCTAGCTCTTTTACTTAGGTTGTATGACCTCAAGTACAGTTTATTTAACCTCTCTGAGTTTCTTCATCTGTAAAATAGGAATAAAAATACCACAAATGATGTTAAGGGGAAGTACCTATCATTTTGCCTGGTGCTCAAAAAATCTTCGTTTCCAGACACGTGTTAAACATTTCTTCACAGAGGCCACCTGCCTGTGGGTTGGCTTTCTCGCCCTCCAGCCTTTCACCAAGGCCGCCTGGAGAACCCAGACCCCACAATGTGGCCATAACACTCTTCCCGGCACCCACCCGACACGGGTGGCTGGTCGGGCAGTACCAGGTGGTCAAAAGACAGTGCTGGGCAAGGAGAAGCCGGGCAGGGAGGATCCCCAAACACCAGGTAACTCTGCCCTGCGTAACTGGGAGTAAATGCCAACACTACCCCAGGACGCTTCTGGAATGTGAGGACCCAGCGAAGCGACAGCAGCAAGAAAAACGGCCACAGCCCAGTTGAGTTCTGGAGCCACTTGGTCCTCCCATTTTTCAGCCTCTATTAAGTATGATAATTAAAGCTGAATTTGCCTTCTAATAATAGCTCCTGGCTCGGGTAATTATAACTCCATCATCCCAGCAAAGCTTGGGATGGGTGGAGGGGGAGCTTGTGTTTTGCAGGCAAGGCCCTTTTGTTCTGGTAAGAACAGGCCTTGGCAGGCTCACGCTGGCTGGGGTCACCCAAAGGTGGCCTGAAACACATGGGCAGTGCCCTCCCCACTGTGCCCACCCCGGTCCCTGAGCAATCGGTCTTCCCCTCTCTTTCCTCCGGATGGCATGCCCGGTCCCTGGCACTCCTCATTCCGCCTCCCTGCTCTCCACAGGGACAAAGCCTGAAAGCTGCTCCCCACCTGCCTAGAGGTCTCTCTGCGGTAGTGGCTGACCCGGGAGGGTGAAGGGTTACGCAGCCCCAGTGAGAGGAAACCTAGTAGGTCTCAGTAACTATTTCACAAATGAATAATAACAATAACCAACCCTTATTAAATATCTCCTGCTGTATTACAAGTCTTCATTCATTTAATCCTCAAAATAACCCTACCTGGTAGGCTTCTATTACTCTCGCCGATTTACAAGTGAAGAAAGCCAAGCGGAGAGGTTAAATAAGCTGCTCTGTCCCCCAGCCAGCTGGGACTTGAACCCCGGGAGTCAGATTCCACAGTCTGTGCTCTTAACCACTGCACAAAAATCGCTTTTCCTACACTGTGCTGCCTGAGCAGAGCAGTCTCAGATTTGAAATCCCGAGTTCTGAGCTGAACTTGCTGTGTGATCTCTGGTAAGTCTCTGGGCTGCAGTTTCCTCACCTGTCAAATTCGGGAAATAGTTCCACACACCCCTACCCTGAGATCCATGAGATAATGGATCTCAGAGCTAATCGAAGACTATAATCAAGCACAAAAGTACAATCTAGAATAGCCCCAAACTGGAAACAACCCAAATGCCCATCAACAGACGAATGAATAAACAAAAGGTGGTCCATATATATCCACAATGCAATACTCCTCAACACTAAAAAGAAACCAACTATCAATGTACCCAACAATTTGGATGAATCTCAAAATAACTATGCTGAATGAAAGAAGCCAGGCAGAAACAGTGCATACTGTATGATTCCCTTTATACAAAATTCTAGAATGCAAACCACTATTTAGTGACAGAAGAGAAAGCCGTGGTTACCTGGGGATTGAGGTGTGGGAAGGGAAGGATTACAAAGGAGTATCAGGAAATTTGGGGGGTGATGAATATGTTCACTATCTTGATCGTGGTGGTGGTCCCACAGGTCATATGTCAAACTGATCAAATTGTACATTTTAAATATGTGCACTTCATTAACATTAGTTTTACCTCAATAGAGCTATTTTTTTAAAAAAACCAGAATGAGATATCATTTTCCTCCTAACAGATTGGTAAAGATTAAAAACTGATAATATCCAAGGCTGGTCCCGTGGGCAAGTGGTTAAGTTTGCACACTCCACTTCAGCTGCCCAGGGTTTTGCGGGTTCCGATCCTGGGCACGGACATGGCAACACTCATCAGGCCATGCTGAGGCAGCATCCCACATAGCACAACCAGAAGGACCAACAACTAGAATATACAATTATGTACTGGGGAGCTTTTGGGAGAAGAATAAGAAAAAAAGAAGATTGGCAACAGATGTTAGCTCAGGTGCCAATATTTGAAAAATAAGTTATCTAAAAAACTGATAACATCCAATGACATGGAGAATGAGAACTCTCCCTCAAGGGAGCAGTGAAAACTGGTATAATCTTTCTGGAGTGCAATTTAGTCACAATTATGAAAATGTGCAATGCAAATATCTATGACTCCCCCTCCCCCCAACAGCCCCCCCGCTAGGACACTGTCCTACAGAAATGCTGGCATGCACACAAAGGTGACAGCATGTTTGGAAGGGAACAGAGCATAGAGCCAGCATGGCTCCATGAATCACACTCCTGGGGTTGGAATCCTGACTCCAGTCTTTGCTGATCACTAGCTTTGTAACCCTGCATCTCAGATTTCTTATCTGTAAAATAGGGATAAAATTATTACCTAGCTCATTGGTGTTTTGAGAGAGTTAAAAGAGATAAGCACTAGGAATGGTGCCTGCATGGTAAATAATAAAAATAAAAGCTTAACTATTAGAGCATTTTCATAATGCAAAAAAAATTGAAAATATCCTAAAAGCTCACCACTAGAGGAATGATCAGTAATTTATGGTACATCTTTTAAGATAGAATATTTGCAGTGGTTAAGAATACATTCTCTTTGAACTGACTTGAAGAGATCTCTAGGACCCACTATTAAGTTAAAAGAGCAAATTACAGAACATTATGTGTATAGTGATCCCGTTTTTGAGGGAGAAAAATTATCTGTGGGTATGAAAGTGGCTACTGCTAGAGTCGGGGAGAGACCGGAGGGCAGCGATACATATAACATTTACTTTATATGGTTCTTATTTTTTAAATGTGTTATAATAACCTTTCACATTTTTTGCAATAAAAAACAATAATAAAAAGACGTGAATTATAAGGTAGCATAATTTATTCTTAATTAGTGCTGTGTATATCATACAGATTCTAAGTTCTTGGATGACGAGAGACTTGTGCTACATTTCTTGATTCCCCCAGAGCGCCTTGCACAGTGCCATACTATCCAGTAAGTATTGCTGACTGAATGAATGCATAAAGAATGCATGAAGGAACTGTCTGGCACCTTTTTCCTGAAAGACAACCTTTGCAACTGTTTCCCAGGGTTAAAACACCCGGGGCCTTCACGCAGTCTTCTTAGTTCATTCTAAGGTCAGTAGTTCCTTTTTTTAGTTGTTGTCCTGTGGCATGTTGGACGCTATGCAGCAAATTTAGCCCTTAAAAAAAAAAGGCGTTTGCTCTTCAAATCTGACTCTATGAAAATGGTACACTTGGAGGACACAAACAGTAAGAAATTTTTTAAAGGAGATGAAAAAGAGAAACTTGATGGAAAGGATGAGCCTCCATAATGACTGAGCAGACACGCGGTCACTAGTCATTACATAACGCACGCTTATCTTGCTTCCTTGTGACATCTTCCCAAGAGACACCATCCAAGCTCTCTCTCTGAGCAGCTGCTACTACTCCTTTGTCTTATTGCTTTCTAACCTTTCGGAGTCAATGTAAAGACTCAGAGATGACATGGGCTGGAGTGGGAGTCACTGGGGTAGCAATGGTGTCAGAAGCTCCCAGGGAACTTTCTTTTTTTTTTTTTTTTTTTTAAAGATTTTATTATTTCCTTTTTCTTCCCAAAGCCCCCCGGTACATAGTTGTGTATTCTTCGTTGTGGGTTCTTCTAGTTGTGGCATGTGGGACGCTGCCCCAGCGTGGTCCGATGAGCAGTGCCATGTCCGTGCCCAGGATTCGAACCAACGAAACACTGGGCTGCCTGCAGCGGAGTGCGAACTTAACCACTCAGCCACGGGGCCAGCCCCCCAGGGAACTTTCTTAAACTATCTTCACTCCCTTCCCTGAGACTGTAGTTACCACTCCTCTTTGAAAACATGTCCTGGGTGATTCCACTTTTAACCCTCCTCCTCGCTATCCCCCCCACCCCCAACACTTCCACCACTGAAAAGCCACTGATTTGGAACAATTCCGTATTACAGGTGAAGAAACTCAGCCTCAGGAAACCCCAACCCATCATCCCCTATGAGGACTCTGCGTTTGCACATTGCCTGCCAGAGGCCCGAGCCATCCCCCTCTCAGTGTCCCCAGCCGGCTGGCCCCCTCAGCAGTGCCCTGATCTCCATTCTGCCTGTGGCTGGGTTGCCTTCCCCGGCCAGGTGAGTTCTGACAGTACCGCTCACTCCCAAGGCCTCCAGGAAAAATATTTTTACATCTTTCTCTCTCTCTTTTTACTCCTTGTCTTACTAATAACGGACTTGAGGGGCCAGAAAAAGCAAAAAACATTCTGAGTATGACTTGTCTGAGGACACGCAGTCACCCAGTAAGTGGAATAGGAAGGACAGGGGCCTGGGTCTCTCTCTGTTCAGTGCTCCCTCTATCAGCTGTGTAGGGTCTGCCCCAGATGCAGCCTATTCAGCATCATTGCCTCAGAGTCTGGTCCTTCAAAGAGAAAAAAATGTAGCGTTGTTTTAGGAAGAACTGGGGCAAGGAGGGCAGGGAAGAGAGTAGAAGAAGGGAGTCAATTCTGTTGATTTTGTGGTGGCCACTGGGCCTCTGCTTCTTCCCTGCCTGAATAAGGGCTGCATGGTCCGGAATAACGCATTCCCTGATGCAAAAACAAGTCTCTCAGCTCTGGCTCCCGTGGCAGTGCCCTGAGAGGCCTGGCCCCATGAGGTCTCTGGTCTACTACGGGAGACTGAAACTGCAAGAGACTGTAAAACAGCAGCTCGCAAAACCTAGGTTACCGCCTCAGACATTAGAAACAACAACAAAATGACAAAAAGCTCTCTCAAGCTCTTAGATGTTACTACAGAACTGTCATTTCCTAGAGCTGCATGCTCAGTAAGGACCGTGTATTTCACCTACCTAGAGGAATGCTAAGTTCACTGAACACATCCTCTGGTTCCCAAGATGGCAAAGAAAGGGGCTGTTTCAGCTCCACTTCGGTGTATTCCGGTGACCTCACGTCCAGAGTTTTCATTTCCATATACCTGGAGCTTTCTGCAGAACAGGAGCCAAGGCAAAGACCAATGAACCACAACACGCCTCCAAGAACCCCTGCAATTCTGTTCCTTGTGCTGCGTGATGGGGATCGCTCCCTTGGACTGCTTAATAATATGAGAGTAGGGCGAGGACTTCTAATTAGAACCAAAGTGCTATAGTTAAGAGCTTTTTCCACTGCCAAAGAATGTGACACACAAGAAAACTTGGCAGATCTTTGCAATGGTCCCGGGTGGGGGTGCTGGCTGCTGAGGCCTTCGCTTGGGATGATCCACCCGCATGCTCCCCAACTCAGTATCACTCCATCTCTGCAGGCAGAGGAATTACGGAAGGGCAAAAATTGTGGTGACGTTCACAGGAGCACTGAGGCTGGCAGGAACGGCAATGCCATTCTCACCCCAAGCTTGTCGAGCAGTGTTATTAAATAGGAACTCCAAACACTGGGTAAGCAAATAAGCCACTGACACCAGTGCATGTTGGGACCTATCCCACAAAATAAAAGGGGTTCAACCAGAGCAAGGTGAACATCTTGCTCCTCCTTTATTCTTGCCTTCTTTAGACACAACCCAGGCCTCAGCGTTACTCTAGCAACAAAGGCAGCTCATGGCAGTTTCCATGGAGACGTAGATCCACACAGGTGAAAAACAGCTCAGGTCAGCTTGACATGGAAGCCAGGCCAAGCCTCCAGCTCACCTGCCAGCTTGTGCCAGCCACAGAGCACTGGACTGAAATGTTTATTTTTAAGTCTTTCCTCTATAGTTTCTGTCCCCGACTCTTGTACCCCTTACTTCAACCTCTGGAATGCCCCAAGGTCTGTGTGAAATGAATCTCTCTAGTTATTTTCACTGGGAGAACAGTGACGGCTACTCACGCTCCCTGCCCCCAAAGCCCTTGATGGATCTTAGTTTCCACTTGGCAGAGAAGCTAGGGCTTAGCCTATTTTAAACTCTGTCTTTCATGATGTCATAGTGCTAGGCACAGCACTACATCACCTCCCATGGAGGCGGGGGCGAGCCCACCTCCAAGTCTTGTTTCACCGTCAAACCCTGGAGAAAAGTGCGTCTGAGGGAGTAAGGGGAAGCCCTTTAGTGAGTCCCTCATTCTTCCCTCTGCCCGCTCCTTTCTCTGCCTCCCACACTCCTGCCCCCCTGGCTAAGGCCTCACAGAATAACGACCTGGGTGGTCCCCTGTTATGCAGGCACAAGGGGCTGCTTGCTGATCCCGAGGAACCGAAGCTCCTTCAGCTGATAACTGAAAACTTTTGCTAATTTTAGTTGTCAGAGTGCACTGGGTTCCCGCAAATTCAGAGAAGACCATCTTATCTGAGTTTAAAATGTGTGGTCTCCTATCTGATTTTCTTTAGGCCATTTGCCTAAAAGCCCTAACAGTATAGCTAGGCTTTTAGCAGCTTGCTTTCTGCACCAGTTTTAACTCTGGTTGAAACCTTACTTATGCTCCTTCCAGCCTAAACATGCCCACACACTTCTCTAGGGTAGCAGTGGGCCCATCAACCTGACCGCACAGGGAGAAGAGGGAGGTAGTTACCCGGGGTCGACACTCCTCGGCAAGCCTGGCTTTGGAGGTCGGTGTCGGTGGGGGGGCTGGCTTTCTCCTCCAAGGGGCTGCCTTCACAAGCCCCATCTTCAGGGGTCCCCCTGGCCTTGCAGTCATCGAGAAATGGGCTAGGCTGCCGGGCCCTCTCCTCTGCTGGCTTGGGGGAAGACATTTGCTGGAGCGTAGGGGCCAGATGAGCATCTGAGCCCTCTGCTCCCTTTGCCTGCTCCTCGTAGCAACCTGAACCCTCCAGTGAGAGGCCTGTCTCGCATTCAGCTGGCTTCCGCTCAGCATCCAGATTTAGGCCAGGCGTTTCCACGTCCATGTCACTGGGACCGCTCGTGGAAGCAGAAGGCAGTTCTTTGGGCGACTTGAGGCTGATTTCTGCAGCCCCATTACCTATGGTCTTGCCTCCCTCCTTGGTGAAATCTTTGGGTAAGTCCAGGTGTAAGGCGGTCGTCACACAGGGACACATTTCGGGGCAGATTTTGTCCTTCTGGTCAATGGGTTCGATTTCTTCCAGCTCTGGGATGTCCGGTTCCATGATAAAATCTTCTTCCTCCCCCACCTCGTCCACTGTAACCAGCTCCTCCATGTTCGTGGGGTACCAGCTCTCCACCTCGGCCTCACTTCCACTCTCCCAATCTTGCTCCTGAACAAAAATGCAGAATGGAGGTCAGAGGGTGGCTGAGGAGTGGGTCTTTGTATTCAACCAGAGGGCATAAACCTTGACCACGGGACCCCTCAAACCAGAAAGATCCTGAGCATTCTTACTTCTACCTGGGAACATTTACTGGGTAATTAGAGGCTGTAAACCACTCAAGTCCCACATCACTGATTCATCCCTAGGATGAGGCTCAAAACAGCCCAGGATTTGGAATAAACCCTTAATGCTTAATCCACCATGTTTAAAGTGGCAGAAAGAATTTCAACACCTGGTACATTAGAGGTGCTTAATACATAGTTTTTGAATGAATGAATGATTAAGTTAGAAACTCTAAATAAATCAACTTGCTGGAGCTATTTCTTTGCACGTGGGGCATCGCTAAACGTAACTGTGGCCAAGCCCCTACAAAATTTCCCCAAGCACCCTCTCCCAGCAAGGGGGCAACTTCCCTAGCCAAGGCTCATACTTGGGCCCTGCTGAAACTTTCCCCTGGTGCCCCCAGCAGCCCACGGACCCAGCAGCCAGATTTAGGAGAGCGGCTTCCCTGCCAACGATACTCATTTCTCCACCTCCCCTGACCAGAAAGGCACAAAGCTGGCTGCGTTCCAAGGACCTTTCTTTTTGCTGTGGAAGCCCCAGCACTGTAACTGGGTTTTTCATTTTAATTAAGTAAAATAATCTTTACAAGCATAATAGATGTCTTGTTAATCCCAGAGTCTGGGCCTGCTGAGGTCAGGGCCCTGGTTTGAGTACCCAAAACCCCCCCTCATGGGAGCCCCTCCCAGGGGACCTGCCTATTTTGGGAGCCTGGCTCTGGAGCCCGAGTCTTTTTCGGGCACATGTTTTCTCTTATGAGCACAGCCAAGTTGCTGGAGAGTGCAGCAGAGCTCAGGCACGTAGTAAAGAGCTCCTCAATCAAGACTATGCAACAACCCCAGGCAAAGCCATTCCTCCAAGAAGCGCTGGGAGGACGGCTTCATTCACTGAACCGCTGGTGGGGTCTCTGGCACATCCCACACAGCAGGGCTTCACTGGGCAGGACGGGGACTCTGTAACTCAGTCCCCGATGCCTGTCGTGCAGATGTGGCTATACTGCCGGCATTTAGGACAAACTTTACCTTCTTTGTCCTTGTGTTTTCAGGATCAAAGGACTCTGCTTCTTTCTCCTGCCTGCCCACTGATGGGGGCCTTTCTTCCATGCCCTCCTGTTCCTCTTTTCCAGTCTTGCAATTGCAAAAGGAAGAACAGAACAAACCAAATCAACCGTGAGCGGGCAGCAGAGAAATGAGGGAGTGCTATGAGAAAAAGAATGGCAATGGGCACAGCTAACAGTTGTCAGTTGTGCTGCACACACAACATTTCCTTTATCCTCACAAAACCCCTCAGAAGCAGGTGCTATTATCACTTTCATTATACAGATGAGGAAACTAAGGCTCAGAGAGGTTAAGTAACTTTGCTCAAGGTCACACAGACAAATGGAGGCATAGAAATGTCTTAATGACTGGCCTGATATCTTTAGGGGGGCTGAAATCCCTAGCAAACTGGGGAGTTTTTGCATCTGTGAAACCCGCAGACAGTGAAGGTAAGTGAAAATCCCAAGAGTGAACTCACATTGGGATTAACAACCATCATGGTGACATGTCCCCAACAGATCCGTCACAGCCATAAAAAATCACATCCAGGTCCCTTATGGGTAGGAAGAGAGTTGTCACCCAACAGGGGCCTCTCTCACCTCCCTTTTGCCCTATCTCTGCCCTGGAGCTATGGCCCAAACTAGCAATCCCTTCCCTTCTTCCTGCTCCTACTCCCTCCCTCCGATCAAGTCCCTTAACATACTGCACATGTCTGGGAAATCGAACGGAAAGCAGGTGTTTGGTTTGAGAATTCGGGCCACTGAACAGCCTTAAAACAGGGGTCAGCAAACTTTACTCTTCCAGCCAAAGCGACCCAGGGCCTCTCTATGTATAGTCTGTGAACTAACAATGCTTTCCCCATTTGTAAATAGTTGCCATTTAAATGATTACATAAGTACCTTCATAATATCCTCAATTTTGCCTCTTGGCCCACGTAGCCTAAAATATTTACTTTCTGGCGTTTTGTAGAAACAGTTTGCCAACCCCCTATTTTAGAAGTTTTTGGAGGATATTCTCCCATGACTTAAACTTTGGCCCCCAAACCAATGACTATTCCTGGGCTTCCTCAGGGGCAAGTGGCATTTTTCTCAACATTTTTGGCTGAGGTTGGTGCAACATAAGCAACTCTAGTTCTGATTTCTTACAACCAGACACACCCCTCTGGAGCTGACAAAGAGCCAGCTGGGGCAGGAGCGCAGGGCTGACTGGTCGAGCCAGTTATTACCGGACAGGGAAAGACAGTTCCAGTCCTCAAGTCCTTGCTCTCTCCAGGGTTTGGAGCGGAAGATTCCACGGAAAGGGGTGCGCTAGTCTTCTGAGCTAACCTAAGAACAAAGCAGCTCTCAATGCTTTTTCAGCCATCAGAACCCATAGCTTCTACTAACAGGGGACCGCTTTTCTTTATTTTTATCTCCCTGAATAAATTATACATGGCCCTCCCTTCCCAAAATAAATAATCTTTCCCCTTCTCAGGCAGTTCCTCCAGCCACACTCCTAGGTCAACACAGTAAAAGGACCCCATCCAGTTCAAGCTGGGAGAGGCAGGGACAGCGTGGCCTGGCTGGAGCCCCCGCCAGACAGACCCCGGCCCTTCCTCCCTGCAGGCACAGGAACCAGAGCAGCACCTGGCCATGCATCCCTTGCCCTGGGAACACTTCCAGGTCAGAGTGGCAGCTTAAGGGGAACAGACAATGCAACCAACGCACCTGGCTGCCCACACCAGCTCACGGACCAAGATATTAGAGGTCCCAACTGTTGCAAGCAGAGCTCTACTACCACAGGGCCAGGGCTACTGCTAAGCCACACCCCAGTTGGTCTCCCACTTCCACCCTGTCGCCTCATCCCAAGTCTATTCTCCCCAAGGCAATCAAGAATGATCACTCCAAAATGCAAAACTATGATGGCCTCATTGCACCTTCCTGCTTAAACGTTCTCTTCCCGTTGCACTTAGGATAAAGATAAAACTCCTTAATCTGCTTACAAGGCCCTGCGTGATGTGGCCCCTGTTGAAAAATCAGCCTCACCTCCCACCATTCTAACCCTGGCCTTCTCTGCTCCAGCAACACTGGCCTCTAGCCACAGGGCCCTTGCACATGCTGGTCCCTCTGTCTGCTCTCCTTCCTTTTCATTCAGTAAATACCCACCATTCCTTTAAATCTCAACAGTCACATCCTAACCCAGGGAAGTCTCTGATTTGTTACAGGCACTAACAGCAGTGTATACCTCCATCTCCTTCTTAGCACCTTAACACTCACACTTTTCTACTCATTTGAGGAATTATTTGATTAGTGTATCTTCCCACTAGACCATGAGCTCCATGAGATCGGAAGTCATTTCAGCTTTCACTCACAACTGCAGCCCCAGTGCTAGGTGCTCCATGGACGCTGGGCAATAAAAGAATGGAGACCGGTAGGAGGGGGTGGAGGGAAGAACAAGTTCGCACCTGCCTCCCGGCATGCTCGAGTCTGTCTCTGGGCTCTGAATCTAGCACAAGTGTTTTTGTCATTTCTCCCTCCTATGGATTGTTTATACTGGGGGCTGCATTCTGGGGACCCCTGGGCTGCATCTGGCCCACAGACATGTTTTAGTCTATACAGCTTCTAAAACATGGGAAATTTCACACAGATATCCAGACTTTGGTCTTGCTCTTAGAAATGGGAGCTCTATCGGCACAGGGCACACATGTGGCATGGCAGCCATAGAATGGAGCTGAGCAGTGGCTGGCTGCCCCCCACGTATAGGCACCTGCTCCTTGGTCTGCCATGGTCCCATCTCTCCACCTTGGCGTCACTCATGCTCTCTGGTCTGTGTCACCTGCCTGGCTTCCCTCCTCTAGGCATTGATCCCCCTTCCAGTTAGGCGAAGGAGTGCTGCTTCCCGTGTCCTCCCTATTCGATGACGATTTCTTGCCTTCTTCCTATGGCCTTGTGATCAGGGATGGGTCTCCTGTATGGACCTGGCTGCCCACAGCACTCAGCAGCATGCATGCTGGCTTCTCCTGCACGGCACTTTCTCCAGAGATCCACAGGGTTTCTAACCAGCACAAGCTCATTTAATTCCTACAATGGCCTGTGACCACACCCATTTTACAAACAAGAACATTGAGGCAGAGAAGAACACAGTGTGACCTCGTTCTCAGAAGCCAGACCTTTGCCTCCAGAGTCTGGGTTCAGTCATTCATTCCTTCAGCAGATACTCACTGAACGCCCTCTGTGCCAAGCCCTAACGTAGGGACTGGGGACACAGCAGTGGGCACCGCTGACAAAAATTCCTGCCTTTGGAGAGGTTACATTTGGGGGGTGAGGGGAGGGGAATAGACACTAAATAAAATAAATAAAGATGTCAGGGGAGAGGCTAGAAGGAGATGGGTGTGACAGAGAAAAGGAAGCAGGAAGCAAGAGAAGCAGGTCCAGATGTTGTGACTTTATGTAGTGACCAGAAATAAACTTGTAGAGAATGTGACAAGTTAAGACAAAGGAGGTGAGGAGGGAGCCATGTGGACTTCTGGGGTCGGGTGGGGGGTCCTAGGCAGGAGAGCACATGTAAAGGCCCTGTGGTGGGAGGGGCCTGGTATATTAGAAGAAAGCCTACTGCCTGCATCCCTGAGTTCAGTCACTGCCTGTTATCTGACTCTTAGGGCAGCCATGTGTGGACCTGTGTTGTTCTCAAGATTGTGACACAGAATTTGCGATCAATGAGGAAAACTTTTTTTTCTGCTGATATTCCACCAAATGTGGGCTGCCTGCCTCCAAACCCACAGATACAATCTGTTGGGGCCTCTAGCAAGTCCCTTCTGACCCCACTCTAGAGCTATTAGAGGAAGAACCAACTAGAGGGACAGAATTGTGGGAAACCATGGGGCTTTCTGGAAATCCTTTTTGCATCGCAGCTCTTGGGATGGTCCATCATGTACATGATCTTAAATGAGTGATGTTGTGCGAACCAATGAAGGCAGGGTGCATGAAACAGTGGGAGAAGTGAGGTTACCAGAGAAGAGTCTCAGAGCGTGGGTTGGAGGGCAAAGGGGCAGCTCCACCCCTTTGCCAAGGAGACAAAGGGTCCTAGACCGGCAGTAAGTGTGTGAGGTCCAGGCCTGAGCCCCTGCCAACTCTTGTTCTTGGCCCCTCTGAGCCACTGGCCCATCACCAGCCCCTAGGACACCTCCAAGCATATACTTCTCCTTAAAAACATCCACTGGTTCACAGGTCCTCGGGATCCAGTTCAAATCCTAAGCAAGGCACACCAGGTCCTTCATGAGCCCACCCCACCCTCTTCCTTAATCTCTTCTCCCAAGCTTGCCCATTCTATGCCAGTCAGGAAAAACCGTCCCAGACTTTGAGATGGGTAAAAAAGATTACTGGGTGTCCTTTCGATGGAATGTTGGACAGTTGCCCAGCACCCTCCCAGGCTATCTGATTCTGTAGGAGTCTGCACTTTATCTTGAATTGAGCTATTTTGCAACTCTGTAAATTGCAGAAAACTAATAGTAGTGCAAACAATTCTTGTACACAGAGATGCAAAGGAACTTTATCTGGTGGAGATGCAACTGATTCCCAGTTCCCTGTGGAACAGGCCAGTTTCACATCTATTAGTAAATTCATTTCAGCATTCCTGATTGCCTCTCTATGTTACCCACTCTTTAGAGTCCCCTTTGAACTGTCTTTTACATCTTACTGGTTATCTCATTAATTAATGAGTTAAATAACATCTTTGACATGTGTGCATTTTATGTTTGCACAAGAGCATAATTTTACTTTTCAAAAACATCATCCTTTAATATGCCCTAAAGATGTGGCCACATGGAGACTCCCCAAGGTTCTTCAAAACAGTCTGTCTTTCTCACTTTTGCCCTCGCCGCTTCCCAAACTGCCTTCTTCCCCGCTCTCAATGCCCAGATCAAATGTCACCTCCTTGAGGAAGCTTTCCTCCTCTCCCAGGGCAGAGTTCACTCCCTCCAGAGCAGCTCATCCACTGCTTGACTCCAGCACGGTCCCCACTGTGTGTGAATCGTGTTTGTAGGTCTGCTTCCACCATTAGACCTTGGTCTCGGCCATCACATGGACTAGGTCCTATGCCTTGGGACCCCCTGTGCCCCTGAGCTTCGGCCCTCCACCAATGCAAGTAGGAGTGAATGCAGAAATACTGCCCAAAAGTGTGACATGTCAGTCTTCATGGAGTTGAGAAGTGAGCTCCTCATTTGCACTTAGCCATTGTCACCAACTTCTGGGTTCAGACTAGAAGATATGCATGTAGGATTTTTAAAATTGGGTTCTTTATGCAGACCCTCCTCCCCCCGCCACCTCCACTATCTCACTCCTACTTAAATGTAGGCGGTTCTGGCAACAAGGAAGTGTAAGCCAAGATAGAATATAGACCTGGTGCCCAGAGTCCTCCTGGTGACCCACTGTGTGAACTGAAGTCATGCAGCAGGTTATAGGCCCTTTCAGATGCTTGGATGAAAGGTACTAGCCAGTTGCCGAGCATTTTTATTACAGTGGAAGTGAAACACTATGGACAGTGTCTAGAGAAACACACCAAGCCCTGGGTACCCAGTATAGTCTAGTGGGTGTTGGCTGCTTCTCCTTTACCACCTCTCATGGAAGCCCCAGGATTGGTAGATGCTTTTGGCAGGAGAGAGGATAGAGTGGACCAAAGATCTAATCTCCGTTGGTAGAGGGTGTGGGTGAAACACCTCAGGGCCACTCCACCCTGGACAAACAGGACCACAGAGGGCTTTGCATCACACCCCTCCCTAACTGCTAGTAAAAGCAGCAGGGTGCTGTAGGATTTGGAGCCAGATGACCAGGTATAATTCCGGGTCTGCTATTTCCTGACTGTGTGTCCTGGGGCAACTAACTTAGGTTCTCTGTGCCTCAGTTTCCTCCTCTACAGTAATAATGCTATTATTACTATGATTACCTCTTAGGGTTGCTGTGAGGATTAAATGATTAGATGACTTGATTGAGATAAAGTGTTTAGCACAGGGCCTGGCACAGAGTACACATTCAGTAAGTGTTTCACTCATTCAATAAATGTTCATCAGCATTATATTAGCATTATTCTCCCTTGAGACCTGCCTCGCCTCACGTGGGGAACAAATGGCATCATTACCTCATTCTCTGCCATTCGGCTTTCTTTTCTATCACCGGCTCCTTCTTGGTCTCTATCAGGTCTCCTGGTTCTGTTTTTCTCACTCTGCTTAGACTTGGTGCTGTCAGGGGCCCGAATCTTTGGCTCCAGCGCGTCCTCCTTGCCAGGGTCGTCTGGGTGGGGATGTCTGCTCTCCCGCAGCCTGGCCTCGTCTTTCCTCCTGGACCTCGCGGAGGCGTCCTGCTGCTGCTTTAGATACTTGTCCGATTTGCCTTTGGGCTCTTTCCGGTAGTAGCCGTCTTCTCGGCTTTTGTACCCGGATGCCGAGTGGAGCGGGTTGGGGGACCCAGTCCTCGGGTGCTTTTCTCGGTGGCCCCTCCCTCCTTCGAGTCGCTCGTCTAACTCGGCTTTGTCTAGTGGCCGGGGGTAGTGTTTGCGGTCAGGTGCCCACGTGTCCGTCCTGTCCCTCTTGTCCTCCCCGTTCTCCCTCCAGGGGGCCGGGTCTCGCTCTTCCTCCCTCCTGGCGTAGGGAGAGTGCTCCCACGAGTCCCGGCCGCTGCCCCAGTCGGCCCGGGAGGGGCCGGGAGGGCTGTGGGAAGAGCTGCAGGAGGTGAAGCTGGGAGTATGGGACCTCGGCGACAGTGACCTGCTCACGGGACTGCGAGACCGTGGCCTTTCTGGGCCATATCTGTGAGGAAGCAAAGAAGCAGTTTTTAGAATCTGCCCGCCCCACCCCTGCCCCCCACTCCCCGACCCTGGCCCAATACCCAGCTATACCCAGTCTCTCGCACAGACCTACTGTGCACATAACCCCATCCAGCCCTATACTCTTCACCACAACTGTACGGATGGCACAGAGCGCTGTAGAGAAAGATTTTCCTCCCTCCCGGCTTGCAGGAGGAGGGATCTTCCCTAAGCACAGTCCTGGCTGCTCTCTGCCTCTTTACTCATTCTGCTCCTGGGAATTGGGATGAATAATTGGACTGGTTTGGCTCAGCCCCATCTTTCTTCCTCTTGGAAGTCAGCTAGGCTCAGGGAACAGGCAGCTTGCCTTTTGGGGGCATACTGGGTGTGGGGTGTGAAAGAGGTTGCCCTGCCCTGGCAAGGCTGCCTAACCCTAGGGTTCAATTAGCCCGCCTCTTGGCCACAAGACTGAAGCCGCTTCTCCACTTGGCCTCCATGGAATAAAGGTGACCTCTTGGCCTCCATTTTTCTTGTTTATTTCTCATCTCAATTTGTTGGAATCCTGGGCATGGTAGAGGGGTGCTAATTACTGGGGGATGGCCAGGGGCAGGCTCAGAGATTCCAAAAACGAAGAACTAGGAAAGCATTTTAGAGCTGGAGGGATCTTAGAGCTCTGACCTGCCCATGTTTCAGATGAAGAAACTGAAAACAGAAAAGGACCCTGATTTGTCCAAGGTTCAGAGCAAGACCTCCTAGTGCCCCCAACCCCACACCCCCTCATGTACACGCTCTGCCACTGAACTGCGGCCGCCACGGTGTGGCTTTATACGTGTCTTTAAAAAAATGCTAATAACCACATTTCTTAAAAAACAAACAAACACAAAAATCCCAAACCTGAGCAGCTACATACAAAGATACACACACACACTCACACACACACACACACACACACACACACATACATATACACCTACACTCTGAAGGCTATTTGGTTATTAAGCAGATCAACTGAATCATACTCAATATTCTAAAAAGATGGGCAATTTTCATTTGCTTCCCAAATACAGGAAAACCATACAGCCCTCACCGACGAGGGGACACCCAGATATGGCTCCCTAAGACCAGGCTGCCTTGACCATTGCTGGGCAAACAGCTTGGGCTCAGCCGTGGACAGTGAGGTTAGAGCACCAACTGTGGCAGCTCTGGGTAAGAACCACAGAATGTGCTGGCCAAGTGCCCACTCCTGCTCTTTTCTACCTTGGCTTTCTCCACAGGGACTGTCTTTGAAGGGTAGTGACAGTGGTAAACTTGAAGTCCCAGCTTGGCATGGTCACAATTTCAGTTGGAAGTAATGAGTTGGAAAACAATGCATTCAATGTTCAGAGTAAGTGGTCAAGTGATCAGGGTACTAGCCAAGTGACTGCTTTTTGGGGGGCCATCTACATTCCTGTTCCTACAACTACATTCAGCTCATGAAAAATCAAGAGCTGGCTCTAAACAGAACACACACACACACACACACACACACACACACAACTTTCAGGCTGTTTCAGCAGAGTGTAGACTTGCCTTAAAGGGCCACATATCAACAGACCCCCACCTATTCCCCCTTCCAACAAAGGAGGAACAGCTGAGAGGTAGCCTAGCATCTTGCACTTTCCTGAGGTTTCACCTGAGCAGCACTTCTGGACTGGACTGATGTGTTCTGTTGGGCACATGGCAAGGTAGAGCCCAGAAAGGCTGAAGGACACGGCAGGGGCAAGGGCAGGGCACGGTGTGACTCAAATACCGCTAAGAATGAAGAAAAGGAGAGAGTTCCAACTGCTCAGAATCTGTCCTGAGACCTAAGGCCAAGGCCTCACCTGTCTGCTTCCCGGAACATGTCCCTCTCCCTCTGGGAATGGATGTCCTGGATGATGGCAGCCACGGTTTTCCCAGGTTTCTAGGCAAAGTCAGAGAGGTCACCATCAGACCAAAGAGAGCCTTGCGAACACCAAAGGAAAGCAGCTAAGCTAGGACTTGAGTTCATTGCCCAGTCCACCAAAGGGGGAAGAGTGCCTTTTTAGGGGAAGAAAAAGTTTGACCGAGGGGGTGAGGAGTGTGTGCATAATGCTGAATGGTGGTGGGCTGAGTGGTCCAGGGGACATGGTGTCCATTGAGCTGGGGAAGGAAGGAGCCTGGTGCTCACCATCCACATGTGGGGAAAAAGCAGCCTTTGTTAATACCTGCCTCCCACCCCCTCTTGAATAAGGGAAAATATCTGAAATGTGAACAGAAGGAAGGGAAAGAGGGAGGGAGGAAGGAAGGCATTATAACTTGGAAAGAGAGTTGAAGATCACTGAATGCAGCCTCCACATTTTACACATGTAGAAACTGAGACCCAGAGAGGTCGAGGCACAGTTCTGCCCTGCACAACTCCCATCACCAGCCACACTGTATTCTGTGTAGATGGTGACTCCTGGAGTTGTGCTGAGGTAAGGAACACATTCTAGGTCATAGAGACCACTAGAGAATCAGGACTTGACAACAGGCATTTTAACTCCAGGATCCTTTCCATGCCCCATGCTCCCTTCAACACCTTAACTCCAGCATGTTCCTCCTCAGGAATCATTTGTGCTCAGTGTAAATCTATGAGGTGGGTGGCATAGACTGTGAGCCACATTTCACAGCTGAGAATGCCAGGGACCCTTTCCAGAAGTCACTATATAGTGGCTGTACCAGGACAAGACCATCTCCAGCCCCAAAATCCCAACCAAAGCCCTTTCCTAAACCCAGAATGGACAAACAATAATGAAACAATATATAATCAATGATTAAAAAAAGAAATTCATGAGCACAAAAGAAATAGGGGAAGCATCTTCAAAAAGACTACACAGAATTCATCCATGCAGTTAAAATGTATGGAACAGTGTGGATTTTATGGTATGTGAATTAAATTTCAATAAAGCCAACATTAAAAAAAAATAAAAATAAAAGGGGGAGCCACTTCAGCAGCCTGGGTTCAGTTCCCAGGCACGGACCTACACCACTCATCAGTAGCCATGCTGTGGCAGTGACTCATATACAAAGCAGAGGAAGAGTGGCACAGATGTTAGCTCAGGGTGAATCTTCCTCAGCAAAAAGAAAAAAGAACTCGAAATCCTCAGTCTGTAATGTCAGATTTGGACAAAGAATTTTATTAAGAAATCTAATCAACTGCTCGTTTTATCCTCAATTTTTTTCTGTGTAGTTTACAAAGAATAAGGAAATCTTAGAGCTATAGGAATGTTAGGTGTCAACACATATCTCATTTTACAGATGGGAAAACCAGGGCCAGAACTAGGAAGTGAGCCACGTGATCTGCTGGGCCTAGAATTCTATGGTTCCTCTCAGTACATGGCTGCTTATCAGTGTTACGGTTGAGATTGAGAGTTGGGCTGGGAGAGAATGAAGGAGGAGCTGCCTGTGGTTTCAGGGCAAGAAATCAGGGCTAGGATTTAGGAAAGGGACATAAAATGTTCACACCAGGGTGGGGTCCCTTGTCAGCTCTAAATGCAAAAGGAAAGAACATCAACAAGAAGGCAGTGATCCCTTCCCCTGTGTTGATGAAGTAGGAGGTTAACAAGTCAGTTGTTCAAATTGAACAACTGTTCAATTTGTTCAACACGTCAGTTGAACAAATCCCTGTTCAAGAAAAGGCCCAACCTTAGCACTGGTCAGGATATCCACCCAAAAAGGGCCCCGCAGTTCTTCTGATCATAGCTGTGAAGGTTGACCTTCTATAGGAGTATGAAAGCGCCGCCTACAAGTACCCACATCACCCAGGCCCTTCACTGTCACCTAGCACCTCAACTGCTTAAACTGGACCATAAGCAGAGACCCAACGCCAAGCCAGGAAAGAAGCTGGGGCTGCCCAGGACGCCTCCTTCCACCCCACCCGAGGCCGCCTGTCCTTCTGCCAGGGTTATTTGTCACTACCTGGGGGTAGAATGAGAAGGTTCATCTGAAGGTGACCCCACTGAGTGGGTCTTCGTCCTGCCTGCCCACGTTGGGCCACAAAGAGGAAGTTGCCTACTGTACCATCATGGGAAAGGCCAGGCTGGGACAGCTGCTCCCAGAAGACCTGCTGTGGGACTGCCTCCACCCAGGCCAACACAGGGGCAAACCAAGCCCTGGAGAGCTGGCGGAGCCCTCAGGACCACGTGCAGGGACATGTGACAAGATCTGCCGTCACCGGGGAGGCCACATCCTGGTCCCAAATCCATGGCTCACACTGCCAAGCTGGAATAGGCAAAAGTTAAAGAATATGCCCCAAACTGGGTTAAATGTACCCCACGGCAACTTTTCAGAGCATACAAATTCCCTGAGGGGGTTGGATGGGGATTTTCTGTAGCAAAAAGAGTCCCCATGGTCCCAAATACTTTTCTTCCGCTCTTCTGGAACCTCAGATCCTCTTGATTGTTCTTTCCAGCCCAGACCCAGAAAAGCCTGGGGTGGGGAGAGGAGGATGGCCAGGTCAGGGGCAGCTGAGGTTTTGCAGATTTCCCGGAGGCAGCACGAGGCATGGGGGGTGGGAGGATGGTAAGACCTGCGGGGAGGGGCTGGTCAGGCCGATGTCAGAGGCAGAAGCATTCCAGCAGCTCATGGCCCCCTCCACACCTCCCTCATCACAGACAGCACCCCTTTATGCCCTTCCCCTCTGGGGTGCCCCCTGATGAGTAGAGCCAGACAATCAGGACCACAGGTGAAAACATCTCCTTGTGGCCCCTGAAATGCCCCAGGGGTCAAAGAGATGCGCCTAGAGTTCTCTGGGGGCTGGAAGAGCCTCTTCTTGACTTAAACATTTCCCTGCCCTTTATTTTCCCAACCACAGAATATCCTCCTGGGGCCACCTGCAGCCCAGTTGATGAGGATTTTAGGCTGGTTACTTTTAAAACTGCAGGTGAGAAGCAGGCTCAGAGGACTGGAATTTGCTTGCTCTTTGAGAAATATTTGCATTTGTGAAGGAAGGGGGACTGACCTTGTAGGGACCTGAAATTGGCCACCCCAGGATATGTCTCTTTGGCATCGGGATTGCTTGGGGCTGATTGCTTTTGATAAACTGGGACAGGGAGGGAGGCTCTGGGGAATGGAACTTGCCCTTGTTGGGACACATTTACATTTGTAAGGTAAATCTCTATCTGTAAAAGGTGCCTCCCTCTCTGTACCAGGAAGAAGAGAGATGACCTTGTCCCTAGAAACTCTTAATGGGGAAGGCAAGAATTTAAGTTGGCTGCTGTCTGGCAATCTCATGTAACTGATTTAGGGTGGTGGCTTCTGACCTTTACTTAATCCGATTTGATTCTTGTCTAAAAGGCATGGGATCACCCAATGACCAGACCCCACCTGCACTGATACCATTTTAACTCTTTTTCATGTTCTTTCCTTTGTCTTGTAAAGAGATGACTCACATAACCATGCCTTATAAAATTAGCCCTAACCCTCAACTCGGGGCAGCAGCAGCGGCTCCTCCTGCCCGTGGGCCCTGTCCCCACGCAGCAGCTCTGACTGCCCATGGGTCCTGTCCCCATGCTATTCCACACTATTCTCTAAATAAAAGAGCACTACAGCCAGATCTTGAGAGTCCAAGAAATCTTTCTTTCGACTCCTCGGCTCACTGACCCCGCACCACAGTGTCCTCTGAAGTTACTTCTATTCAGGTGCCACATCCCCAGGAAGGCAGGGCATTAGGTTGTTAATCTTCACATAGGCAGCACCAGCACAGAGTCCCTCACAGAACAGGTGCTCCATAATACCTATTCCAAGATGAATGGCTGTGGCTGCAGAGAAGGATGACAATCTGCAAATACTACATGCTGGGGCCAGCGGTCACGGGCATTGTGATCCTTCTCTGAGGACCAGAGATCAGTTCCTCTATTTTAAGTGATAATTCCAAATTGTTGGCACTCTCTGGCCCAAACACCCTGCCAGCTGCCATCTGAGAAGGGGACAGAAGTGGCAAAGACTTTAAAATAACAGAATCAACTTCTCACAGCACTAAGAAAATCCTCTCAACCTTCCTCTTTGGGCCTGGCCTCAGCATCTCGTGGTTACAGGTGTACAGGAGGCAGGTGACATAAAGCTGTGATCACTGCAGAAAAGTGAGACAGCGGAGAACAAAGTAGGCCTAGCATGACACTGGGACACCTTTTCATTGTAGAACACTTCAAACATACCCAAGAGGAGAGAGAAGGGTAAAATGAAGCCCCATGAATCCACTCCCATTGTCAACAATTCTGACCAAACTTGTTTCATCTATACCCCCATCTCTTTCCCCACCCCACAGAATATTTTGAAGCAAATCCCAGACATAGTATCTTTTCAACCATTCTGTGATGACACCCATGCGGCTCAACAACTCCACAGGGGACAATCCACAGTGCTCATGGCTAACACATCTCCAATATAGCTCGCTGCTTCTGAGACAAGGGTGTGATTCCTAGCCCCATGCAGTCCTAGGGAAGTGCGGGCATACTCAGAGGGAGGCGAGAATGTCAACCAGGAAGAGCAGCCCCACCTCAGCCTCCAGCTGGTTGGGTTGCCTGGAGTCAAGGCTTCCTGTCTGTGGGAGTCTGCTGTCTCCACTTATAAAAGTGAGATAATGAGGCCCATCTAGCAACAGCCTCGGGGCATGGCTGGCTACACTGATAAAAGCCATGGACTGCTGGGCCAACATAAAGGGAGCCACTAGAGGGTATCATGCCCTCTGACCTTTCCACACTTGTTCTGCATGCCTCGAGGGTCCTGGGAAGATGCTGAAACCTTCCATGTGAGCCCTGAACTCCTCAGAGCCAGATCCTGTCACAGCAGCCCCAATGGTTTTTGACTTCACTGTGCTTTTCAGACTCCACATCTCTTCTCATCCAACTCCTTCCACTGGGAAGCCCCCTCTCTATTTAGCTAATTCGCCTCATCCTTCAAAGC